CACCACGTTTATAATCAACCGTGATCTCATATTTACTCGAAAATCTTTATTTAACCAGTGATCATCTGATATATTTACATTTTAAAACGACATCGCTCCAATTCTTTAAGCTAATATAATTTATAATATACTTTTTATCTTGTTGATTAATAAAAAAAAAATAGTCAATATATTGATGCCAAAATTAGCTAAATTTATTATAAATTTATACAAAAAATGGGGTCATTAATATAAATTAAAAAATGTTTTCAGAGCTCGTGTGTATGCTAACTATCAAAAGGTAAGCAATCCTGAAGATCAAAGTCTTCATCATTACTATCTCCGTCATTTTCTTCATCCTCTTCATTAATATATTTTTCAATGATTATATAAATTACAGTTAATATAGTCCATAAATCTGCCCAGAAAAGTAAAAGTGAAATTTGATCGATTTGTTCTTGCAAATTATAAAAGATAAAATAAAAACCAAATCCGCTCAAAATGCAACCCAATATTTTTCCGACCACTGTATTCTTTGTACAAGACAAAATACTAGCCACTGCCCCGCTGGCAATTGCAATTACGATAGCAAGAATAGAAAAGTTAAAGTGAATTCCATACTTAATCAAAGACTTTATGAAAAATACTAATAAACTAATAGATGACGCAAATATCAATAGAATTGGTATTGTAAGTATACAACAAAAGATCGAAGAATTCGAAGAATTCGGAAAGCAAGCAGTTAAAAGAATCCCTAATGCGATTGTAAGAACAATAGTTTCCGTAAGTATTAAAAAGGAAATTGATGTCTCATCAAAACTATCCGTCGCCCAAATGAATAGTGGTGGGAAAATCGCAAAAATAAATATGGTTGATACTGGAAGAATTATGAAGCCAGCCGATTTAAATATTAACACTAACAAGATTGTAATAAGTGTGGACCAGGTGAAAGCCGATGCGACAATGGTCACCTTGTCGATGCCATATATTGCGTATATTATGGATGGTATCAAAATGAAATGTATGATAATTGGAAAGAATAAAGAGACATTATTTTTTAATGACGGGTTATTTGTTGTTATGTCAATTATTCTTATGGTTAAAACATATATAATGAGTAAACTACCAATAATTATGGAAGTTATAGTAAGCTTATTCAAGCCTTGTGTGATATAAAAAAATATTGATGGAAAAATAAATGGTGTAAATATGCCAAGGGTAAAAGCGATTTCACTTCTCAACCTTTTAAGTTGAGGTATTGGAATAAAGGCAAATAAAAGAACAATGGTGACAACGATATAGGGAAGATATTCTTTTATGCTAAAGTGAAACATATCATAAATTGGCATTCTTGCCAATACGACTGGAAATAAACCGAACAAACAGACGAGACATTTGATTATGTTTACAAACATGGTCTTGT